CAATAAAATAGTTTTACTCTTAAACATTTTCTTTAGAGGGATGCCCCTTCTTGATAATTTGTGCTATCCTGAAGCAAAAAATAATCACACCTATTTATAATGAGCAAAGATGCATCTCTGCGGGCAACCCCAGTGGATATGGTTCTGTCAGACACTATTGACCATATTTTGCAGATATAATTTCCTAACTTACAAAAATCTATCTCAGATGATCACATGAGCTCCCTCCTCATGCAAACTTAACAAGTAGAGATTCAGATTATAGAACCACTACCCCTGTTACTGCTTGTCTAGGGAATTCACAACATGGTCAGCTTGCATATTTGATGTCAATCATACCAAATAAAGATATAACCGATGCAAAAACCTTTGTCTTGCCCATGCTTTAAACTATTTACGTAGAAGGACCACTATTATATTCACAACAATTATCATTTTACAGTAAAGCTAATTTATAACAACATTCACTAATGATCTAATAAGTGATAAAAATTGTGTAACTAGCTGTGGGGGAGGTATATATATATAGTTAAGATAATGTCTCTTCTCTAGAAAATCATAGTACTACAATGTACGTAATACCCCAATTGAAGCAGGGATAATAATCACATAAGGGCTATAAGGGAGATCTGCATGGAGTGCTATCAGAGCACAGAGGAGAGAATTAATTCTTACTTAGGTGTGGGAATCAAGGAAGGCTTTGAAGCAAATGATGAATATGAGCTGAAACTTTGGAATTGGTTGGACTTTGACACACTGAGGCGGACCTAAAAGGATGAGTGGCCTAGGTATAGTGGCAGGAGGTGGGAGGGCAGGCAGTAGTGGAGGGAGAGTGCGTTTGAGTAAAGGGGAAAAACATCCAATATAGTTTCCTCTTTGCTGACTGTCACACATTTTTAACTTTGTAGGGAAGATGGAAGAAAATCGATTGAACCGATTGTTTTGGCTTTTCTGATGTGATCACAGCATTGCTATATGGGTTGTCAAACAAGGGATGAGCTCATAAAAGGATATTAATGTGTCGTTTTTACTGAGCAAAGTAGCATTACAGAGAAGGTGATTTCAAAGGCACATGGCTCTTTCATTACAGCCTTCAGGGGCAATGTTTGATCACTGAAAACAGGCTGCTTTGTTCCAGCTTTCTCTGATGTTTGGCATTATCCCAAATACATATGCTCTGACTTGGAAAGAATCAGTTTGTAAAGATTTAATAGATTTGAGATTTGCATATTCAAAATACATGTTTTATGGTTAAAATGAAATGAAAGCCATTTTAATATGTGTGTCTACATATACACAGATATATTTCAGACGCACATCTCAGCAATTTTTTGAAATGCAATTACACATATTATGTGTTTGTTTTGAGATAATGAAAGTTGGTTATTTTTAAAATTCACCATTTATCACGAAGGAAAAAATATATTTTAAGACACGCTATGTTGGTGATAATAAAGTACAAGATTTCCAGTTTTAGCAACTTGAGCTTTGCTCTATGTCCCTGCCACCTATCATAGACGTAACTTTCTAGTGCTGAATGTCTCTGAACACTTTCTTTATTAAAAGTGAGGTATAGGTTTCTTGGTTGAAGAAAACTGGAAGTCACAAAATATTAAAGGGAAATTGTAAAAGATTAGCATTTACATGATACTCTTTTCCTTATGTGACTGAAAGAAGGGAGCTTTTTTCTTCCAAAAGGAAAGACTTGCTTGGAAAAAGACCTGAGGAGTCAAAAGCTTATGGTGACTGAAACTCATGAAACTTCTTTTTATAGAGTTCTCTGGCTTCTATTCCAAGTGAATTGATATGAAATCTCACACAAATTTATCTTTTCATTTTGAATTCCAATTGAACCTTTAAAAGAAAGATGACATTCCAACTCAGCCAATTTGATATACATTACATCTACAATTAGATATCCATTGCATTGAAATTAACCCTGACAGACTTCAGCTGAAATGGGCTAGGTTAAATTATATTCCGTTCAATGTGACAAAGAAAAAATTTGCTATTTGCTTCTTTACTTAAAATCCTTCCCTTTCCATCTCTCCACTTACAACATCCTCTGTCTACCTAAATGACCCCCAATGCTTTCTCTGCTTATCACTTTCCCCTCTCTGTTAGTTTTGCAACAATTTCAAAACAGAGACTATTTTGTTATCCATTTGTTGCCTATGCCAATGTTCACAAACCTTAATGTACTTATAAATCATCCAAGGATCTTGTTAAAAATGCAGGTTCTGATTCAGCAGGTCTGGGGTGTAAGATTCTAATAAGCTCTCAGGTGATGCAGTGGACCAAGATTCATATAGCAAACACTTAGAGTACAAATGACTTGTCCTTAAATGTGTTCTTGGACCAATATAACTGGAAATGCAGATTCTCTGACTTTGAGGTTGCTTCATACTTTGAATTGCCTTTTTGTTTGATAATTTCAGGATTGCTCTGAATGATCTGGACTCCCTCTACTTCTCTAGTCTCTGTTTTTACCACTTCCTCTTTCTTACTTTACATTTTAGATATAATAAAGATCTTGACGTTTCCACAATGTATCGGGCTCTTTCACATCTCAATGCCTTTTTTGATACTATTTCCTCTGCCTGTCCTGTCATCCTGTGACTCTTCCTTTAAAACTCAGATCTGCTGTCTTCTCCTCCAGGAATTCTTTCCTGATCTCTTTTTCATGTAATTGCATAATTAAATGCCTTCAGTATACTCCCACAATGCCCTGTATTTCCTTTATTACACCTTTCTTATAATCTGTTGCAATTGTCTGCTTGATTGTCCTTTCCCTTTAAGACAATGCTTCTGGGGGGAAGAAGTAATGCATTTTATCCCTGATTTCTATTGCCAATCACCAACACAGTAGGTTTTTTTTTTTAATCAAAGTTTGCTGAATGAATGAAGAGGAGAAGTTGATGTGTTGTAGTCATGCAAGAATGTAGTGCAATATTTCTTCTCATGAAGTTTAAAATTGAATTGGGAGTCATAAAAACTAAAACTCATAAAAAGTTAAGTACAGGGTGAGATAATACTAAAGATATAAAATGTTAGTATGTGATTAATTGCCAAATGAGGATCATAGCAAATAACCATTCTGAGTCCATTGGAGGAAAATGTCACTGTGGATTTATTAATATTTTTAATACCTCAATTTGTTCCACAAAGGACTTGAGCCTGCTGATAACACTATGCATTAAAGTTAATGAAAGTATGAGCACATATGTAGTTAAGGGAATCGTATCAGAAAAGGAGAGGGCTATGGAAATATATACAGCAAGTGCTCGACTTACGACCATGATTGTTCCGACAGGCCGGTCGTAACACGATTTGGTTGTAAGTTGAGTAGGCTATATGCACGCGGAGATGGTAGTGCTGCCGGAAGCTGGTCCACACTGTCGTACACCCAGCCGGGCAACGTTTGCACTGCCAGACGCGGAGCAGTCGTGGCTAGCGATTGTGGTCGTAAAGTCGAATGGTCGTAAGTTGCATAGGTCGTAAGTCGATCAATACCTGTACTCAAAACTTGAATTGATAGACTATCCTTAAGATATATTCTGTAGACGTATTATTCTTGTCTGCAAAAATGCTTATTACGTAGATATGGACAGTAATGTGGGTGTGCTGGGCTTTCATATCCACTCTGCCTGGGATGCTGACTTTGGTGGGGACATTAGCAGCTCCCTTGTCCTCTGTCTTCTGGCAGAATTTGGCTAATGGTATAATAGTGAGGTCAGGACATTTATTTTCTTTGGCTGCTTAGAACTGCTGTGCCTCTTTTTAAAGATGGCCCCTGTGATAAACCTCCTGAAATTATTCTAATTTGAGTGTGCCCTGTTACCTACTGGGACTCTGATATGGCCCCAGAATTGTTGTTTAGAGCTAGATTGGATGCCAGTCTTAATAACTTTTCTGACAACCATGAATACTGTAAAAATGTTTTAGGTGCATGCTGTATATCAGGAACAATTCTGTGAGGAGTTGGCTCAATACAGAAAAATTCAGAAAACAAACAAGCAAATCTAAAACCCTGTGCTCATATACTTTACACTTAGTATGGCAAAGACAACGTAAACCATCTTGGAGGTCAGGAAAAATTGGTATATTTGAAAGCCCACAGTTCTATAATATTTATTTGTACCAGCCTGAAGTTTAGCGTTGAATTGTAAAGCAATAATGTGCCAGAGATATAGTTTTTGGGTTTTTCCCCTTTCACTGAGGGTAGATTATCCAGAATTTTTGCCTCTGCTCTTGCCTGTTGTTCATCTTCTGGTTATTTTATTCCTCACTGTCCTTCCATCAGGGAATATAAAAGGAAAATAAGTGAATGAAAACTTAGCTGTAGCATCTATGATAAAAGGTTTGTCGAGAAGGAAACTGAAATCCTGAGTAAATCGAAGCTTTTCAGTTTATCTGGGTTGGTCTGCCCCCTATTGCCATAAAGGTATTCAGAATGGTTTCCAGCTTGTCAAAAACAGAGAGACAAAAATGGGCAAAAAGTTTTACTTTCATGCTAATAAAGAGAACCAGATCTAATAAATAAATATGATACTCTTAATATGAAGCCCTGGCGCGCACACCCTCTGTCTTTTTGTCCCTGATTGTATGACAACCTTGTTTGCAGTCGTTACTTAGATCATTTTTGAGTCATATGAGCTTAATTTTGTGACACAGCAAAAACAGGTCATAAATCTCAGCAGCGGACAATATGTTTGTAGTTTGACCTTGGTAAGATGAACTAAGGGTGCTGAATAAACCATAAATTCAGTTTACAAAAATAAAGAAAATAAGATTTATTTTTACTTGGTCCAGTGGATAAAGTGAAAATCTGATATTTTTCTGGTCCATGTGGTTCATTTCGCCAAGCTTGATTAAATTCCTGTTTAGCAGGTAGCTAAGAGAGAAACTGAATTAAAGCACTTTATATGAAGCTTTTGAGTCTTCTTTGTTCTCCACTGTTTTCTTTTTAAAAATCTGTTTTAACTTTTCTTTCCTTTTAGGCTCTATTTATGAAATGTTTGGAAATGAATGCTGTTTCTCAACAGGAGAAGTTATTAAAATTACTGGTCTCAAAATTAAGAAGATCATAGCTGAAATTTGTGAGCACATTGAAGGTTGTGAGTCTCTACAGCCATTTGAACTGCCTATGAATTTTCCAGGTACAGTGTTTTGCAATGACGTATCATTTGTGCAACTATATTGTTGATATTATATGTATCTATACAACTGAAAACAAGAAAAAAGAGGTCTTTTTTCACTCGAGGATAATGAATGAAAAAATCCAGAATTATTATAGTCTGATCATTTTAAGAATGAATGGATGGCAACTATTTTCTCCTTTTTTAACGTGAAAGATGTTTACTTTTTACTTAAGATTAATCTTTTTGGTTAACAAACATTTAGTGAGTTTCAACTATATACATCACTAGTTGTGCTAAATAATGAGAACCAAGAAATCAAAGATATATTTTCATAAATTCTGTAGAACTAAGTAACGTCATTTAAGCATATCTACCTTCTTTGCTATTCCAACTGTCATTACTCTAGCTCCTTGGATCACTGTTGACCTTCCATGTCTAGTATTACTGGGAAGTCTGCCTGGTCTTTTTTATCTAATTGACTCTACTTAGCCTTCCAAAACTAGCTCAAATTTCATGCCATCTAGAACACTTTTGCTGACCCTCTAACCTAATTTGGATTTCTCTCTTTTGTGTTCCCATATTATGTTGGGCCTCATACCATACACCTCATTGGATAGTCATTGATGATTTTTTCATTTGCCATATTTTTTACACTAGGTGTTGGCAAAATTTTTCTATAAAGAGCCAGATAGTAAATATTTTAGGCTTTGTGGCCAGAGGGTCTTTGTCACACTTATTTCGCTATGCTATTTATGTTGTAGCACAAAAGCAGCTCTGGATAACATATAAACCAGTGAGCATGCTATGGCTCAATAAAACTTTATTTTAAAAAACAGGTGACCAACAGGATTTGACTCGTCAACTGTAGTTTGCTGACCTCTGCTGTAGACTAAAACTCCTTGACATGAAATATGAACATGTGACTTTGTATTCCTGATAGCAAACACAATTTCTGGCACAAACCATGCTCAGTAATTGTTAACTGAATGAATGAATGACTAGTGGAAGAGAAAAATCTCATAAACATTTACAATATAATGATTTCATGGTATGTTGGAGGTATACTTCTGTTCTATGTGGGGCTTGATAAGGAACATCAGACTACGGTTGGTTGTGTTTCAAAACAGGGATTCTGGAGCCATTGTACTTGAATGCCAACTTTGTCACTTCTTAGCTGTATAACTTTGGCGAGTTATTTACCCTCCTTTCATGTAAAATGGGAATAATAATACTATCTATCTCCTGTTATTGGGAGTGCTATATATTGATATATGTTTAGTGTTTAGAATGGCACGTGGCATATAGCAACAGGCAGTAAAAAGTTTCAACTTTTATTACCATTATTAAGATATTATTACTATCATTGGAGGAGTCGGGAAAAGCTTTTAGGGAATGTTTTAATTGAGCTGAGGTTTGAAGAATAAAACTATATTAGCTATATTGAAGTGAGGATTTTTTCCAGGTGCTCTAGTATCCAGTCGCCTTTCAACTGAAACCTTACCCATTGTTCAATTCTATTTCTTCTTACCCATCTTTTATAATAATGGTTCTCTAATTTGGCTGCACAACCTAGGGAGCTTTAAAAAATTCTGATGTTCAGGCCACTTACATGAGATATTCTGATTTGTTTGCTCTGTGGCAAAGTCTGGGCATCAAGATTTCTTAAAACTCCCAGTGTGAAACTAATAAGAAGCCAATGTTGAGAACTATTACTTTGTAAGATGCCTCTCTTAAGTACTCTAATTAGATGTAACAATTCCCTTTTTAAATCACTGTAGACTTTTGTGCCTTAATCATTGCATATATTAAATTTTGCGTGTAACTGAGGTTATTTCTGTACTTGTCTGGCTACCACCATCTGTCTAATAGACCACAAGTTTGCTGAGGGCAGAATCTGAATCTCATTTATTGCTATAATCCCCATGGTATTCAGAAAAAGATATACATTATAAGTATTTAGTAAGTGAAAATGACTAGAATCTTTTGGTAGAAGGAGTTTTTCTTATTTGAACGGAGAAAACACTTAGTTTTTGGCTAACAGTTTAACCTGGGGAGTTGCTATTTAGAATACTCCTTTGAATGTTCAATTGACATAATAATCTTGCATCTATTGAGTAACAATTTGAAAATGATGTTTACAGTTTTATTGTAAAGAACAGGGTGAAAATAGAAGGCAAAAGTGATCGGCACTAGTCAGGGTATAGTTTCTTTTTTCAAGGAGAGCTTCTAGATAATGACAAAAGGGATCCCAGATACAGGGATAATTCTTCTACATCAGCACTAGGGAAAAAGATAGAAATCAAGGACACAAATCTTACCCAAAAATATTAATAGCAGCATCTCTTTATTTATACTATATTAAAAACTATTTAAGTTCCCAATTAGATTTTAGACTCAAAAAGTCAAAGAAAATTTTAATACATTCTTCCTTATTTGTGAATTTATCAAATTTCCTTTTGCTATTGATTTCTAATTTTATTCTATTATGGTCAGATGACATATTTTGTATTATAATTCTTTTAAATTTATTGAGACTTTTTTGGACTCATATATGATCTAGAGAATGTGCTATGTTCACTTGAGAAGAATGTGTATTCTATTCTAGTTGGGTATGTGTTCTACAGATGTCTGTTGGTTTATGTGTATTGTTCAAGTCTTCTGTTTCTTTCTGTATGTTCTGTCTAGTTTTATTCATTATTGAAAATGAAGTGTTGATGTTTCCAGCTACTATTGTTGAATTGTTTATTTTCCCTTCAGTTCTATCAGCTTTTGCTTCATGTATTTGGGGGCCCTGATGGTAGGGGTATAGGTATTTGTAATTGTTGTCTCTTCTTGATACAGTGACCCTTTTATCATTATATAATATTCTTTTTCTCTAGTAGCAATTTTTGTTTTAAAGCCTATTTTGTCTGGTATTGTATAATTACTCGAGTTTTCTTTCAGTTAATATTTGCAAGGTTTCTCATCTTTTACTCTTCTACTTTCGAACTACAGACGGTCCCCGACTTATGATGAGATGATTAAAATTTTTCAACTTTATGATGATGCAAAACCAATATACATTCCATAGAAACCATACATCAAATTTTGAATTTTGGTCTTTTACTAATCATAGGCTAATGTAGGTGTTCTGAGCACATGCAAGGTAGGTTAGGCTAAACTATAACGTTTTAAAGGTTAAGAGTATTAAATGTATTTTGACTTATGATATTTTGAATATATGATAGGTTTATCAGCTTGTAACCCCATTACCAGAAAAGCAGATGATTTTTGTGTTTGATTCTAAAGTACATCTTTTGTAGAGAGAAAATGGTTAGATCATGCTTTTTAATCCAACCTGCTAATCTCTGATTTTTAATTAGAGTATTTAATTTATTTACACTTAATGTAATTATTGATAGTAGTTCCAAAAAACTGCTATTTTACCTTTTGTTTACCATATATCTTATTATGCCTTTTGTGTTCCTATGTTTGTCCATTCCTGCCTTCCATTCTGTTAAGTAGGTATTTTCTAGAATGCCATTTTAATTTCCTATTCTTTTCAAATAAATTATCTTTTTTTAAGAATGGTTTTAGATTCCAGCAAAATAGAGCAGAGGGTACACAAATTACTCTTGTATTCCCTGTTCTCATATACACACAGCCTCGTCACTACAAAAACCCTGCAGTGTCTTTTCATGGCTTAATAGCTCATTTCTTTTTAGTGCTAAATAATATTTTGTTGCCTGAATGTACTTTAATTTACATATGCGCTCATCTGCTAAAGGACATTCTGGTTTCTTACAAGTTTTTGCAGTTGTAAATAAAGCTGGTATAAAGATCCATGAACAGGTTTATTATGAGAATATGTTTTCTTTTTAAAATTTATTTATTATACTTTAAGTTATGGGGTACATGTGCAGAACGTGCAGGTTTGTTACATAGGTATACATGTTCCATGGTGGTTTGCTGCATCCATTACCTTATCATTAGCTATTTCTCCTAATGCTATCCCTCCCCAATCCTCCCACCCTCTGCTATCCATCCCCTAGCCTCCTGCCCCGTGACAGGCCCCGGTATGTGATATTCCCCTCCCTGTGTCCATGCGTTCTCATTGTTCAACACCCACTTATGAATGAGAACATGAGTGTTTGGTTTTCTGTTCTTGTGTCAGTTTGCTGAGAATGATGGTTTCCAGTTTTATCCATGTCCTTGCCAAGGACATGAATGCATCCTTTTTATGGCTGCATAGTATTCCATGGCATATATGTGCCACATTTTCTTTATCCAGTCTATCATTGATGGGCATCTGGGTTGATTCCAAGTCTTTGCTATTGTGAACAGTGCTGCAATAGACATACATGTGCATGTATCTTTATAATAGAATGATTTATAATCTTTGGGTATATACCCAGTAAATGGGATTGCTGAGTCAAATGGTATTTCTAGTTCTAGATCCTTGAGGAATCGCCACACTGTCTTCCACAATGATTGAACTAATTTACACTCCACCAACAGTGTAAATGCATTCCTATTTCTCCACATCCTCTCCAGCATCTGTTGTCTCCTGATTTTTTAACGATTGCCATTCTAACTGGCGTGAGATGGTATCTCAATGTGGTTTTGATTTGCATTTCTCTAACGACCAGTGATGATGAGCTTTTTTTCATATGTTGTTGGCTGTATAAATGTCTCCTTTTGAGAAGTGTCTGTTCATATCCTTTGCCTACTTTTTGATGGAGTTGTTTGTTTTTTTCTTGTGAATTTGTTTAAGTTCTCTGTAGATTCTGGATATTAGCCCTTTGTCAGATGGATAGGTTGCAAATATTTTTTCCCATTCTGTTGGTTGCCAGTTCACTCTAATTATAGTTTCTTTTGCTATACAGAAGCTCTTAAGTTTAATTAGATCTCATTTGTCTATTGAGAATATGTTTTCAACTCTTTTGGGTAAATACCAAGGAGTGTGATTGCTAGACTGTATAGTATGAGTTTGTTTAGTTTAAAGAAAATGCCAAACTGTATTCTAAAGTAGCTGTACT